CAAGGCATACATACACAACAAAGGAATGTATTGAACAGGTTTTTCTCAAAACATTGTGATGCTGGGTCATACATACATACTACACAGCTCACCATGGCCATGCCAGCCACCATTCCACATGAAAGCGTGATCCAATGGTACATTTCAGATAGTGTTTTTATGTGCAGGTCATCAGCATGGCAATGCATGGAGGATGCAAACTGCAGCCATATGTGGGCCAATAATAGGTGGGATGGATATTTTGAACTGGGGTCTGCACATACAATCCCTAAACATATATAGTCATACTTAGTTATGCAGTTTTCGGAGCTGCACCCATACAGACAGGGGAAACAGGTTATTCTTGACCCTATAACTTATGCCATTCGGCTAAACGACCAAGGAAAACATGACCACATTCTCTATGTGTAAGAGATCTGTGCACCAGCCGAGAATTGAACTCGGGTCTGGTCCGTGGCAAGGAGCTATGCTACCACTATACCACTGGTGCTGAACACTGCACATGCCCACTGCACAAAAGACTTACCACCCTGTTCATACTTGCCAACAAACAATTGGCCTATGTTCATGCAAACCTGGTGTACTTGCTGATAAAGACATACACTGCCCAGTGAGGGGCTCAGATAGAACTCACCACCACAAGGTTAAGAGTCTTGCCCTCTTCCACTGAATGAGCTGAACAGGCACATTTTCAAACCTCGTACACACAGAGACATGTATGGAGTGTGCACCAATGGATGTGTTGCACAGAAAGGGACCAGACCAGATGTAGGGCTCAGCAGTGGCACAACCAGTAGGGTGCAAAAATGTTTCCCATTCAGATATACTGGATATCCAATCATGGATGCATCTTACAAATACAAATAACCCACTACCCATGTCACTTACAAATTTCACGATCAGACATCCCTCTTCCAGCTATTCACATGTGTAGTATGGAATTCCCACTTATCATGCTCCCGAAATCCACCCAGCACCCAACATGTGAATGCCGAGTAAAGGACATGGTTTAGCTGTTGCGGACATGTGTACGTGGACACATATTCCGAGCCTACCAGGGATCGAACCTGGAATCTCCGGTTCCGTAGACCGGCGCTTTATCCATTAAGCCATAGGCCCTTATCCGAGTTCAGGCACTCGTTAAACACCAGGAACGTGTTGGATTCATTGACGAGCTTGGCACGCAGGCCCACATACAGCTCAATCATTAAGCCACAGGGGCACAGGTAGAATTTATGTGCCATGATGTCAAGCAACAACAAACAAAGTGCACAATCTGGTCTGTTGATGCACCTTTTTGTGGGAAAACAGGGACTGTCACTTTATACCATACATGGAGCCTTAGGGTGAATTCTCCCAAGGTCGTGGGTTTCTGAGCCTTCTCCTGCGGTGTCTCTCACTCGTTCCTGTTTGGTTGACTTAAGCTGGCAAGTATGGGTGAGTGTCTTGGCAGCTCTTGTCGCCTCCAGCACAGTGCATGGCTAGCTGGCCCATTGGCTCTACTTTTCAAGAGTTTGGAACCCACTGCAAGGCATACATACACAACAAAGGAATGTATTGAACAGGTTTTTCTCAAAACATTGTGATGCTGGGTCATACATACATACTACACAGCTCACCATGGCCATGCCAGCCACCATTCCACATGAAAGCGTGATCCAATGGTACATTTCAGATAGTGTTTTTATGTGCAGGTCATCAGCATGGCAATGCATGGAGGATGCAAACTGCAGCCATATGTGGGCCAATAATAGGTGGGATGGATATTTTGAACTGGGGTCTGCACATACAATCCCTAAACATATATAGTCATACTTAGTTATGCAGTTTTCGGAGCTGCACCCATACAGACAGGGGAAACAGGTTATTCTTGACCCTATAACTTATGCCATTCGGCTAAACGACCAAGGAAAACATGACCACATTCTCTATGTGTAAGAGATCTGTGCACCAGCCGAGAATTGAACTCGGGTCTGGTCCGTGGCAAGGAGCTATGCTACCACTATACCACTGGTGCTGAACACTGCACATGTCCACTGCACAAAAGACTTACCACCCTGTTCATACTTGCCAACAAACAATTGGCCTATGTTCATGCAAACCTGGTGTACTTGCTGATAAAGACATACACTGCCCAGTGAGGGGCTCAGATAGAACTCACAACCACAAGGTTAAGAGTCTTGCCCTCTTCCACTGAATGAGCTGAACAGGCACATTTTCAAACCTCGTACACACAGAGACATGTATGGAGTGTGCACCAATGGATGTGTTGCACAGAAAGGGACCAGACCAGATGTAGGGCTCAGCAGTGGCACAACCAGTAGGGTGCAAAAATGTTTCCCATTCAGATATACTGGATATCCAATCATGGATGCATCTTACAAATACAAATAACCCACTACCCATGTCACTTACAAATTTCACGATCAGACATCCCTCTTCCAGCTATTCACATGTGTAGTATGGAATTCCCACTTATCATGCTCCCGAAATCCACCCAGCACCCAACATGTGAATGCCGAGTAAAGGACATGGTTTAGCTGTTGCAGACATGTGTACGTGGACACATATTCCGAGCCTACCAGGGATCGAACCTGGAATCTCCGGTTCCGTAGACCGGCGCTTTATCCATTAAGCCATAGGCCCTTATCCGAGTTCAGGCACTCGTTAAACACCAGGAACGTGTTGGATTCATTGACGAGCTTGGCACGCAGGCCCACATACAGCTCAATCATTAAGCCACAGGGGCACAGGTAGAATTTATGTGCCATGATGTCAAGCAACAACAAACAAAGTGCACAATCTGGTCTGTTGATGCACCTTTTTGTGGGAAAACAGGGACTGTCACTTTATACCATACATGGAGCCTTAGGGTGAATTCTCCCAAGGTCGTGGGTTTCTGAGCCTTCTCCTGCGGTGTCTCTCACTCGTTCCTGTTTGGTTGACTTAAGCTGGCAAGTATGGGTGAGTGTCTTGGCAGCTCTTGTCGCCTCCAGCACAGTGCATGGCTAGCTGGCCCATTGGCTCTACTTTTCAAGAGTTTGGAACCCACTGCAAGGCATACATACACAACAAAGGAATGTATTGAACAGGTTTTTCTCAAAACATTGTGATGCTGGGTCATACATACATACTACACAGCTCACCATGGCCATGCCAGCCACCATTCCACATGAAAGCGTGATCCAATGGTACATTTCAGATAGTGTTTTTATGTGCAGGTCATCAGCATGGCAATGCATGGAGGATGCAAACTGCAGCCATATGTGGGCCAATAATAGGTGGGATGGATATTTTGAACTGGGGTCTGCACATACAATCCCTAAACATATATAGTCATACTTAGTTATGCAGTTTTCGGAGCTGCACCCATACAGACAGGGGAAACAGGTTATTCTTGACCCTATAACTTATGCCATTCGGCTAAACGACCAAGGAAAACATGACCACATTCTCTATGTGTAAGAGATCTGTGCACCAGCCGAGAATCGAACTCGGGTCTGGTCCGTGGCAAGGACCTATGCTACCACTATACCACTGGTGCTGAACACTGCACATGTCCACTGCACAAAAGACTTACCACCCTGTTCATACTTGCCAACAAACAATTGGCCTATGTTCATGCAAACCTGGTGTACTTGCTGATAAAGACATACACTGCCCAGTGAGGGGCTCAGATAGAACTCACAACCACAAGGTTAAGAGTCTTGCCCTCTTCCACTGAATGAGCTGAACAGGCACATTTTCAAACCTCGTACACACAGAGACATGTATGGAGTGTGCACCAATGGATGTGTTGCACAGAAAGGGACCAGACCAGATGTAGGGCTCAGCAGTGGCACAACCAGTAGGGTGCAAAAATGTTTCCCATTCAGATATACTGGATATCCAATCATGGATGCATCTTACAAATACAAATAACCCACTACCCATGTCACTTACAAATTTCACGATCAGACATCCCTCTTCCAGCTATTCACATGTGTAGTATGGAATTCCCACTTATCATGCTCCCGAAATCCACCCAGCACCCAACATGTGAATGCCGAGTAAAGGACATGTTGTAGCTGTTGCAGACATGTGTACGTGGACACATATTCCGAGCCTACCAGGGATCGAACCTGGAATCTCCGGTTCCGTAGACCGGCGCTTTATCCATTAAGCCATAGGCCCTTATCCGAGTTCAGGCACTCGTTAAACACCAGGAACGTGTTGGATTCATTGACGAGCTTGGCACGCAGGCCCACATACAGCTCAATCATTAAGCCACAGGGGCACAGGTAGAATTTATGTGCCATGATGTCAAGCAACAACAAACAAAGTGCACAATCTGGTCTGTTGATGCACCTTTTTGTGGGAAAACAGGGACTGTCACTTTATACCATACATGGAGCCTTAGGGTGAATTCTCCCAAGGTCGTGGGTTTCTGAGCCTTCTCCTGCGGTGTCTCTCACTCGTTCCTGTTTGGTTGACTTAAGCTGGCAAGTATGGGTGAGTGTCTTGGCAGCTCTTGTCGCCTCCAGCACAGTGCATGGCTAGCTGGCCCATTGGCTCTACTTTTCAAGAGTTTGGAACCCACTGCAAGGCATACATACACAACAAAGGAATGTATTGAACAGGTTTTTCTCAAAACATTGTGATGCTGGGTCATACATACATACTACACAGCTCACCATGGCCATGCCAGCCACCATTCCACATGAAAGCGTGATCCAATGGTACATTTCAGATAGTGTTTTTATGTGCAGGTCATCAGCATGGCAATGCATGGAGGATGCAAACTGCAGCCATATGTGGGCCAATAATAGGTGGGATGGATATTTTGAACTGGGGTCTGCACATACAATCCCTAAACATATATAGTCATACTTAGTTATGCAGTTTTCGGAGCTGCACCCATACAGACAGGGGAAACAGGTTATTCTTGACCCTATAACTTATGCCATTCGGCTAAACGACCAAGGAAAACATGACCACATTCTCTATGTGTAAGAGATCTGTGCACCAGCCGAGAATTGAACTCGGGTCTGGTCCGTGGCAAGGAGCCTATGCTACCACTATACCACTGGTGCTGAACACTGCACATGTCCACTGCACAAAAGACTTACCACCCTGTTCATACTTGCCGATAAACAATTGGCCTATGTTCATGCAAACCTGGTGTACTTGCTGATAAAGACATACACTGCCCAGTGAGGGGCTCAGATAGAACTCACAACCACAAGGTTAAGAGTCTTGCCCTCTTCCACTGAATGAGCTGAACAGGCACATTTTCAAACCTCGTACACACAGAGACATGTATGGAGTGTGCACCAATGGATGTGTTGCACAGAAAGGGACCAGACCAGATGTAGGGCTCAGCAGTGGCACAACCAGTAGGGTGCAAAAATGTTTCCCATTCAGATATACTGGATATCCAATCATGGATGCATCTTACAAATACAAATAACCCACTACCCATGTCACTTACAAATTTCACGATCAGACATCCCTCTTCCAGCTATTCACATGTGTAGTATGGAATTCCCACTTATCATGCTCCCGAAATCCACCCAGCACCCAACATGTGAATGCCGAGTAAAGGACATGGTTTAGCTGTTGCAGACATGTGTACGTGGACACATATTCCGAGCCTACCAGGGATCGAACCTGGAATCTCCGGTTCCGTAGACCGGCGCTTTATCCATTAAGCCATAGGCCCTTATCCGAGTTCAGGCACTCATTAAACACCAGGAACGTGTTGGATTCATTGACGAGCTTGGCACGCAGGCCCACATACAGCTCAATCATTAAGCCACAGGGGCACAGGTAGAATTTATGTGCCATGATGTCAAGCAACAACAAACAAAGTGCACAATCTGGTCTGTTGATGCACCTTTTTGTGGGAAAACAGGGACTGTCACTTTATACCATACATGGAGCCTTAGGGTGAATTCTCCCAAGGTCGTGGGTTTCTGAGCCTTCTCCTGCGGTGTCTCTCACTCGTTCCTGTTTGGTTGACTTAAGCTGGCAAAAATGGGTGAGTGTCTTGGCAGCTCTTGTCGCCTCCAGCACAGTGCATGGCTAGCTGGCCCATTGGCTCTACTTTTCAAGAGTTTGGAACCCACTGCAAGGCATACATACACAACAAAGGAATGTATTGAACAGGTTTTTCTCAAAACATTGTGATGCTGGGTCATACATACATACTACACAGCTCACCATGGCCATGCCAGCCACCATTCCACATGAAAGCGTGATCCAATGGTACATTTCAGATAGTGTTTTTATGTGCAGGTCATCAGCATGGCAATGCATGGAGGATGCAAACTGCAGCCATATGTGGGCCAATAATAGGTGGGATGGATATTTTGAACAGGGGTCTGCACATACAATCCCTAAACATATATAGTCATACTTAGTTATGCAGTTTTCGGAGCTGCACCCATACAGACAGGGGAAACAGGTTATTCTTGACCCTATAACTTATGCCATTCGGCTAAACGACCAAGGAAAACATGACCACATTCTCTATGTGTAAGAGATCTGTGCACCAGCCGAGAATTGAACTCGGGTCTGGTCCGTGGCAAGGACCTATGCTACCACTATACCACTGGTGCTGAACACTGCACATGTCCACTGCACAAAAGACTTACCACCCTGTTCATACTTGCCGATAAACAATTGGCCTATGTTCATGCAAACCTGGTGTACTTGCTGATAAAGACATACACTGCCCAGTGAGGGGCTCAGATAGAACTCACAACCACAAGGTTAAGAGTCTTGCCCTCTTCCACTGAATGAGCTGAACAGGCACATTTTCAAACCTCGTACACACAGAGACATGTATGGAGTGTGCACCAATGGATGTGTTGCACAGAAAGGGACCAGACCAGATGTAGGGCTCAGCAGTGGCACAACCAGTAGGGTGCAAAAATGTTTCCCATTCAGATATACTGGATATCCAATCATGGATGCATCTTACAAATACAAATAACCCACTACCCATGTCACTTACAAATTTCACGATCAGACATCCCTCTTCCAGCTATTCACATGTGTAGTATGGAATTCCCACTTATCATGCTCCCGAAATCCACCCAGCACCCAACATGTGAATGCCGAGTAAAGGACATGGTTTAGCTGTTGCAGACATGTGTACGTGGACACATATTCCGAGCCTACCAGGGATCGAACCTGGAATCTCCGGTTCCGTAGACCGGCGCTTTATCCATTAAGCCATAGGCCCTTATCCGAGTTCAGGCACTCATTAAACACCAGGAACGTGTTGGATTCATTGACGAGCTTGGCACGCAGGCCCACATACAGCTCAATCATTAAGCCACAGGGGCACAGGTAGAATTTATGTGCCATGATGTCAAGCAACAACAAACAAAGTGCACAATCTGGTCTGTTGATGCACCTTTTTGTGGGAAAACAGGGACTGTCACTTTATACCATACATGGAGCCTTAGGGTGAATTCTCCCAAGGTCGTGGGTTTCTGAGCCTTCTCCTGCGGTGTCTCTCACTCGTTCCTGTTTGGTTGACTTAAGCTGGCAAAAATGGGTGAGTGTCTTGGCAGCTCTTGTCGCCTCCAGCACAGTGCATGGCTAGCTGGCCCATTGGCTCTACTTTTCAAGAGTTTGGAACCCACTGCAAGGCATACATACACAACAAAGGAATGTATTGAACAGGTTTTTCTCAAAACATTGTGATGCTGGGTCATACATACATACTACACAGCTCACCATGGCCATGCCAGCCACCATTCCACATGAAAGCGTGATCCAATGGTACATTTCAGATAGTGTTTTTATGTGCAGGTCATCAGCATGGCAATGCATGGAGGATGCAAACTGCAGCCATATGTGGGCCAATAATAGGTGGGATGGATATTTTGAACTGGGGTCTGCACATACAATCCCTAAACATATATAGTCATACTTAGTTATGCAGTTTTCGGAGCTGCACCCATACAGACAGGGGAAACAGGTTATTCTTGACCCTATAACTTATGCCATTCGGCTAAACGACCAAGGAAAACATGACCACATTCTCTATGTGTAAGAGATCTGTGCACCAGCCGAGAATTGAACTCGGGTCTGGTCCGTGGCAAGGAGCTATGCTACCACTATACCACTGGTGCTGAACACTGCACATGTCCACTGCACAAAAGACTTACCACCCTGTTCATACTTGCCGATAAACAATTGGCCTATGTTCATGCAAACCTGGTGTACTTGCTGATAAAGACATACACTGCCCAGTGAGGGGCTCAGATAGAACTCACAACCACAAGGTTAAGAGTCTTGCCCTCTTCCACTGAATGAGCTGAACAGGCACATTTTCAAACCTCGTACACACAGAGACATGTATGGAGTGTGCACCAATGGATGTGTTGCACAGAAAGGGACCAGACCAGATGTAGGGCTCAGCAGTGGCACAACCAGTAGGGTGCAAAAATGTTTCCCATTCAGATATACTGGATATCCAATCATGGATGCATCTTACAAATACAAATAACCCACTACCCATGTCACTTACAAATTTCACGATCAGACATCCCTCTTCCAGCTATTCACATGTGTAGTATGGAATTCCCACTTATCATGCTCCCGAAATCCACCCAGCACCCAACATGTGAATGCCGAGTAAAGGACATGGTTTAGCTGTTGCAGACATGTGTACGTGGACACATATTCCGAGCCTACCAGGGATCGAACCTGGAATCTCCGGTTCCGTAGACCGGCGCTTTATCCATTAAGCCATAGGCCCTTATCCGAGTTCAGGCACTCATTAAACACCAGGAACGTGTTGGATTCATTGACGAGCTTGGCACGCAGGCCCACATACAGCTCAATCATTAAGCCACAGGGGCACAGGTAGAATTTATGTGCCATGATGTCAAGCAACAACAAACAAAGTGCACAATCTGGTCTGTTGATGCACCTTTTTGTGGGAAAACAGGGACTGTCACTTTATACCATACATGGAGCCTTAGGGTGAATTCTCCCAAGGTCGTGGGTTTCTGAGCCTTCTCCTGCGGTGTCTCTCACTCGTTCCTGTTTGGTTGACTTAAGCTGGCAAAAATGGGTGAGTGTCTTGGCAGCTCTTGTCGCCTCCAGCACAGTGCATGGCTAGCTGGCCCATTGGCTCTACTTTTCAAGAGTTTGGAACCCACTGCAAGGCATACATACACAACAAAGGAATGCATTGAACAGGTTTTTCTCAAAACATTGTGATGCTGGGTCATACATACATACTACACAGCTCACCATGGCCATGCCAGCCACCATTCCACATGAAAGCGTGATCCAATGGTACATTTCAGATAGTGTTTTTATGTGCAGGTCATCAGCATGGCAATGCATGGAGGATGCAAACTGCAGCCATATGTGGGCCAATAATAGGTGGGATGGATATTTTGAACTGGGGTCTGCACATACAATCCCTAAACATATATAGTCATACTTAGTTATGCAGTTTTCGGAGCTGCACCCATACAGACAGGGGAAACAGGTTATTCTTGACCCTATAACTTATGCCATTCGGCTAAACGACCAAGGAAAACATGACCACATTCTCTATGTGTAAGAGATCTGTGCACCAGCCGAGAATTGAACTCGGGTCTGGTCCGTGGCAAGGACCTATGCTACCACTATACCACTGGTGCTGAACACTGCACATGTCCACTGCACAAAAGACTTACCACCCTGTTCATACTTGCCGATAAACAATTGGCCTATGTTCATGCAAACCTGGTGTACTTGCTGATAAAGACATACACTGCCCAGTGAGGGGCTCAGATAGAACTCACAACCACAAGGTTAAGAGTCTTGCCCTCTTCCACTGAATGAGCTGAACAGGCACATTTTCAAACCTCGTACACACAGAGACATGTATGGAGTGTGCACCAATGGATGTGTTGCACAGAAAGGGACCAGACCAGATGTAGGGCTCAGCAGTGGCACAACCAGTAGGGTGCAAAAATGTTTCCCATTCAGATATACTGGATATCCAATCATGGATGCATCTTACAAATACAAATAACCCACTACCCATGTCACTTACAAATTTCACGATCAGACATCC